AAAATTATAACAGAGGAATTTGCAATAATTCCCTCCAAAAAATTCAAGAAAATTTTCAGAAAATTGAGAAATTTTTTATTCCCAACTGATACACAAAGAATATGCACATTAATCATTTGCAACTCTCGCAAAATCGTCCTACCTTTTTACTATCCTTCTGCTCCTGCACGTACTCGTGAGTGATTGGCTCTGATTGGAGATCCGGCAGGGAATGACTGATACGTATAGCATTCTGCTGCGATAAGTCGCTCTCGGCGTCCTCCTCCTTCATATTCCGCCTAACTCTCATTAACCATCGCCAAGTTGAGGAACATTGGAAGCTCACAGCGGCCAGCAATAACAGAGCCATCAACGCTACTCCGGATCCAACCAGCAGCTGATAAGGAAACGTTTCCTTCCATTCTTCTGCGAACAAATTCACAGAACGTTACGGAACTATCCTCGAATAAAAATTAACTCGGTTTTCCCTCCTCGCGGATACGAGAATCGCGAAAATTAACCCTTTCAGCACAAGAAGACCGCGTATCGTGTCGAGATACTAATTATATGTGCGACGTATAACTAAATAGGTCGCTATTTTAATTTTTCCTTTTTTTAACCAAAGCATATTCAAATTATATTTGATGTAGAAAAATGTACTAATTTTTTTGGGCTAAATCATGCCAAAATTATGTTCCTCTTAAATACACATTTATAGAAGTTCACGCTCGTGCTATTTTCGTTGCTTAAAAGTACCCGAGTTTATTGGTTACGTTCCGAGGGTTATGTGAACGTATGTACATACACTGTGTCCCACGCAACAGAGCTATATTTTCAAAAGTATTGGAGACGGAAATAAATTTCGTAAAATAAAATTAAACTGTGTTACATGTACACAGAAATGCATAAAATTCATTTAACACATTTTACACATTAAAATTCATTTAATTTCACCTTCCAACCGTTCAGTTTGCGCGAGACACCCGCTACACGAGTCCAACCTCCTCGAAGTGTGAAAACGCGATGCTCGTGCTTAGGGAAGGTCGACGAAGGTCCCAAGGAAACAGGAAAAAAGTTTATATAAATTAATCAACCCTTTCGTCGTTCGAGTTTCAAATTAGCTGCTAATTATGTTAGAGAAGAAACGGCGGGGAAATGTATGTGTACAGTCGAGCAACGGGGTAGAGAAATTTTAATCAAGGGAAGGGAACGTCTTTTCGCCGACGGATTAGGGAGGCACGGCAGGAACGAACGGAAATTAGTATGCTACTCGAATCGAACAAGCTGCTATGGTTGGTGGTGATCGATACCAGAAGATAAACACCATCCAGACCTCCCTAATTACGCAAGTTCGCGCGAGTTCTATGGCTCGCTCGTAGCCTCCGCGAGATTGAAACTTCCCACCTGGATTTGAATAATGCTGATTTACCTGAAACGACGACAATGCTTCCTCTGTGAATGCGAATTTTTACTAATCGTTCTCTGTTTATACTTCGTTCGATATTTCGCAGAATAGGATAATATTTGGTTCGGGAAAATTCGCGTGAACTTTCGAGTGAACAAGTAAATTGTAATTTATTTAAAAAGTAAATTGCAATTTATTCGTTTTAGAAAATGTAAACAGTTTTTTTCTGGAATTTGAAAATTATGTTTTGCTAAGAAGTTTGTGTTTTTTTAGGATGGAAATTTCTATCTCTAAAGTTTGCAAACCATTCCAAAGGAAGGAATAACTTGGGAATAATAGAGGAATTTTTTGGTGGTCAACGCTGTAAGATAAATACATGATGAATCGGTGAAGCTGTTGTTTTAATTCCGGTTAATATTGTTCTGATGGGGAAAGTGGTCAAATAGAGCGGAATAAAATAGGAATTTTCTCCATTTTACTTAATTCACGGTCACATTGTAGTATTTTACTTGGTAATTTATACGTTGTACGTTTAAATTCAATTTTGTATTATCAAGATGTCCGAATCAAGATTTTCAGCGAAGAAAAATTCCAGAAATTCCATTCGTCGTCTAAATAAAACGTGCTTTCTCGAAACACACAACGGTACACATCAGTCTCCTCGAAGAGCAAGCAAAAATCTCTGCGAACGTCTGCACAAAGGCAAATTCCACAAATTCTGCAAGTTCCATTCATCATCTAGACAAAATTTAACATCCTTCTCTTACTTAGACAAAGACAAACTTTGATCCGAAGAAGTGGGACACCCGGTACGTCGGTCTTCTCGGAAAGCAAGCAAAAATCTGCGCAAAGGCAAATTCCACAAATTCTACAAGTTCCGTTGATCATCTAGACAAACTGTAACATCCTGCTCTTACTTATCAAACTTTGATCCGAAAAAACTGGGACACCCGGTACGTCAGTGTTCTCGAAAAGCAAGCAAAAATCTGCGCAAAGACAAATTCTGCAAGTTCCATTCATCATCTACACAAAACGTACCATCTTCTTCTTACTTATTCAAAGACAAAGTTTAATCCGAAAAAACTGGGACACCCGGTACGTCAGTGTTCTCGAAAAGCAAGGAAAAATCTCCGCGAAAATCTGCGTAAAGACAAATCCTGCAAATTTCGTTCGTTGTCCAAACAAAACGTAACATCCTACTTATCCAGACAAAGTTTGGTCCGAAAAAACTGGGACATCCGGTACGTCAAACTTCTCTAAAAGCAAGGAAAAATCTCTACGAACGTATCATAACCTAACAGAACATCTGCATATCCCGTTTCCCCCTTTAACAAGCCTGTTTACCTACATCTTGAGCCAAACGAAAAACATAGAAAGAATCGGAGAATGTTTATTGTCCGTGCCTTTTAAGCACACAATACGTCGGTAGAGATGAGTCATTTTCTCCGTGGCGCAACGTCGGTGCTCGATGTCCGACAGGTAAAAATCACGAAGGATTTGCGCAACGGCCGCTGCCGCCGCCGCGAGAGGAGGAGGACGATGCAAATGAAGAATAACGCTTCGTGTAAAGTACACACGCACGCCTTCGTGATTAATGCTGTATGCAGCGGCAGCCCACGACGAGAAAGGTAAGGCCGTGGATGGATCTTCCTCGGCGGGGAGAACACAATAAGAACAGAAAGCGTTTTGTCTCGCCCGCCATTATTAAACCCCGTCTTCAACACTCCGGTAATAACGACAGGAACTCCACGGTACCAGCTGGATCGCGCAATAATACACAGACCACTTGGAATAATGCAAATAAGGCGGGTTTCCAACGGACAGGTTGGTTCATTAGGTGTTTGCGTGTCTTTGTCGTTTCGACGAACAATCATTTCTCACAGCGAGAGACGCCTTTGCGATTTGTACGCGATTTTTAGGTTAAGCTGTGGCGCATCTTCTGCGGTTTGTGACAACTGTTTGGAAGGTGTGATTCGTGGAAATTGAGGGATTCGTGTGGTCGGTGGACTGTTTCTTAATGGGTGATGTCGTACTGCTTGTTACACAGGGTGGGACACGTGAAAGAGGACAGTTAAGTATTTTCTCTAGCTATGGTGGATGAGAAAATTTTGGCGCGTAATTTAAATGATTCAAAGGGTGAACTGGAGACTTTTAAGGATTAAGGATGGCCGTAGCTATTATTAGATACAGTATCGTTAAAAAAAGTAACGAGAATTTTTCCCACGAAAATCCACATTCAGTCTTAAAATTTTTCAATATTAAATTCATTACACTTTGCATTATTAAGTGATTAAATTAATTTTTTTAAATTCATTTTCAGTTGATAAAGTAACTTTTCACTTTTACCGCACTATTTTTCGTTCCTTTTCTGCATTTGTCTTTGCCTTTCTCTTCCAATAAATCCGAACTTTGATTACACCCAGCTACTGTCAATATTGGAGCGACAAACGCGGCCTCATCGATGATTATTGTTCTCCTGAATTCTCACGCAAACAGTTTCTCCGCCATAATCTATTTACACAGGATATATTCTGTTTAGTCGCTACCACGATAGATGACATTTGCTCGAATTGTACGTGTCACCATTGTGCGTCCATTATCGACCGTATCAGTCGTGATCGATACTGAAATCTCAACAATGCTCCTAATACTACGTTGTCTATCGATCATTTGCTCCGAAGAAATCTTTGCGTTAAAAAAAAAAAAAAAAATTCGACCGAGACACTTTTATTTCTAATCAGACTATAGAAAGGCTACATTTCTTTCTAACCAGACTATAGAATTTCTATCTCTTCCAGTAATGGTCCTATTTTGTTCTTAATTTCTTAGATGAGAATGCAACACGAAGCAATTCCTTGTGTTCATCTGAAGGTTGGAAAATTTGTTAAAGAAACAGAAACGTGACGGAACTAATAAGAAAGTTCGCTTAACCGGCTGATAAAAGGATTTCCTTAATCGAAGAGCAACACGCGAAGATTTCAGAAGATTAGAAAAACCTGACTTCTGCGATCGACGGAGGGGCTGAAAAGAGATTGAGCGAATTAAAACGACACCACCAACTCGATATTCGAACCTGATTCCTCGTGTTTGCCGCTCGTGTGTGTCCGTCCGTAACGATATAGCCTGGTTCGATATATTCGCTACACGTGAACGAGACGCAACGTCGAACGACGCTTGTAAAAATTGCAGAGAAACGGAAACGCGAGTGATCAGATTCGAGTTCGTCTTTTCCTTTACTCGATGTGAAACGTCCGTTCTAATTAGTCTTGTTAGTTGGACTATAGGCTTGTTAGTTTCTTTGTTCGAGAGATTCGTCATCGAACGGGGAACCTGATCGGCGCAAATTCCACCAATCACGTGTAAAGATTGAAAATCAGTGAAGAAATGTTTTAATGCTCGACTGATTTGTACTTTTTAAGCAATTTATGGAGATCGTAGAACGACCGATAGAGCGAATTTTATCGATAAAACGACCGAACAGGCGTGTACAGTCGATTTTATCGTTTGTCGAGTGGTCGTTTTGACCTAGTTCAATTACGTAGATGATCGACTTTTCAGCTTAGGTGTGCAAAGGGATGTTTGACCAGCATGATAAACGTGAATCGTGCGATCTTGAAATTTGGGAGAAGCACGGAAAGCTACTGTATAGGTGAATTCCGCGTCTGAAAAGCGCGGTGGGTGCGAGAGGGATAAAGGGAGTGGTTGATCGATCGACTAAACCACGTTTCGAGTCCTGAATTTATAGGATAGCTAACGTTCGTTTCAACGTAATTTCTTTTGCAGAAATATCGAAATCTTTGCAAACCTAATTTCAGAAATTTATAAATATTATTCAGATAAGTTTATTGCGTAAAATGATTCCAGTTGGAATTTGCAATATTATAATGCAAATGTAGGAATCTTAACGAACGTTTAATTAAATCTTTCACTTATGTCGAAAGATAAATTTGAAAGAAACAGATCCCACGTCTAAGCAATGAACTACATATCAGGTTTACAGTAGCGAGTTAAGTAGCACGTA